GAGAGAGAGAGAGAGAGAGAGAGAGAGAGAGAGAGAGAGAGAGAGAGAGAGTGTCAGAAGCGAGAATTATGTGTGATGAAAATTCTTGCGTGTTACTGTCAAATAAAAAAATATTTGGATAAAAACAAATTTTAAACAGTTTTAGGGCCCTTATGAAATACATAAAAAATTATCTTTTTCGTTCGATAAGTAACCTATTGTTTATTGACTGTCAAAGAAAAAAGATAATTTTTGGCATATTTTGCAAGTGTACTAAAACTACAATGTTTTCATCTGTCCGGGTTTGGATCGCGTATAGAGATTTTATAAGCGGACATAGGGACGTCCTCAGTATATCCTTAGTATGTTCTACCGATTTTCACGGATATACCCGGGATGTTTGAAAATCCCTTTAGATATATCCGGTGAACATACTTGGGATCAACTTTTGCTGTGTGGGTTATGATATGATAAAATCTTTTCGGAAGCCGAAATTATATTCAACATACACACTGTGTAGAAAACGATTATTTCTTTTCTCACCTTCGAAACAAATTATTTCTTGTTGAGCTGTATAATGATTAGAGATTTTGGGTGGAGTTCCGAATAGGTGAACCCTCTGATTGTTTTGAAACTACACTATTTTTTGTATTTTTGAACGCTGATTACGAATATGACAATAAAAATTTGCGACTATGTCATTTTCAAAGTCAAAACTCAATAAAACTTAAACATTTTTAACTTTTTAAACATTATTTCGATAAATAGTGATGTAACAAAAAACGTTTCAAATATAAGTTGTAGTTCTTCTAAAAATAATTAAAAATAGTTAAAAATATAATAAAAAATGTAAAATATAGCGTGATGCCGCAAACAGCTGATGGCGAAGCGATCGAGCCAGCACAATCAGAGATATGTTATATTCGGAACCATACCCAGGTAGAACATAAAACTCATAATGACATCATTATGACATCACTTAAAAGTCATTTTGGAAAAATCGTAATGATCTCATTTGATACATTTTTGGCTATGTATTGGTGACTTATTTATGATATCATAGTGACTTTAATATGACCTCCAAAAAGAAGAATATTATCTCAAATTGATTGATACACGAAATTTATTTGCATTATACATATTATTAGCGAGTATACATATTGTTTCGTATTACTACTACACCGCTCGATGATTCAAAAGGGGCCCATAAGCGCGCGCTCACCCTTGCGCACATTGTCATGCCCAACGGTAGCAGCGCCACGCGCGTTTTTTTTGGGGCACTATTGTAAGATGGCCAGTTGGCGAATAAAACCCTTAGAGTCCACACGTGGCTTATTAGTTACCGCATCCCACGAGAAATCCAGCAAAACTATATACATAAATTGGTCCTTCGAGCCGGATAACGGTGATAAGAATAGGCGAAGCAAACGCCACAAGCAAATTTTGAGGCATCCAGTGTCGCGAAAAGCCAAAATCGCGAAGAGGAATTCAACGGCGATCGGCACCAAAGCTCGATCGCACTTCGCTTCAAGGTCAAGCAAGACAATCTGCGAGCAAAGCAGTCGCGGACTAAAAGACAAAGCCAAAGTACAAGAAAAGTGTGGGCACACGCCAACTAACGCAAACGGCGCGCTGAAGCACACAAACACAAGCTCATCAAGCAGCGTGGTAAGCGCAACGAGAGCGCGCCAATCAACGGTGCGAAGGAGGCAGCCAAGCGGTCGGCGATCGAGAACGCGCCAAGCAACGGTGCGGCGGAGGTAGCCAAGCGGTCGGCGATCGAGGACGCGCCAAGCAAAGGTGCGGCGGAGGTAGCCAAGCGGTCGGCGATCGAGGACGCGCCAAGCAAAGGTGCGACGGAGGTAGCCAAGCGGTCGGCGATCGAGGACGCGCCAAGCAACGGTGCGGCGGGGCAGCCAAGCGGTCGGCGATCGAGGCCGCGCCAATCAACGGTGCGGCGGAGGTAGCCAAGCGGTCGGCGATCGAGAGCGCGCCAAGCAACGGTGCGGTGGAGGTAGACAAGCGGTCGGCGATCGAAAGTGCGCGCCAAGTAAGGTGCGACGACCAGTGAGTACATGAGCGTTCCTACTTCCTATCATTCATCCCTTTTCCGAAATTAAAAGGTTAAATAATTCGCGTATCTGTATAGCCATTTTACAGTTGAACGGCAAATTAAAATGGCTGAGTTGAAAACTCTAAATAAAACGCGCGGCACTCTAAAATCACGCGTAACTGTCTTTAAAAGATTTTTAGAAAATACTAGAAACAATAACCCTGACGAAGCTCAGGCGTTAGACGACGATACTCAAGAGCAAGTAAGGGAGAGAGTATCCAAAATAAAAGGGGTGCTCAACGAATTTGAAAAGGTTCAGGCTGCCATCGAGTCACTTTCCGACGACGCTGAAGCTAATCTACCTTCAAAAAATAGAATCATTTGAAACAGATTACTATGAGGTGGTGGCAGGTGCTAACCAATTGTTGCGTCGGGGAGTAGCACAGGTACAACGTAGCAACCAACTTGAGGTAGGTCAGAAAGGAAGCGGACAAACCGACCAAGCCGGGCCGAGTCCGTTCAGTACACGAACTGAACCGATTCTCTCGCCTCTTTTTCAATCAATCACAAGCAATCCGACGGGTGTTCGGTTACCCGTGATAGAACTGCCCAAATTCAAGGGGGAACTATCGGAATGGTTAAAATTTCGTGACACATACAAATCGCTAATTCACGACAACCCGAACATAACTAGTGTGCAAAAATTTCATTACTTGCAAGCTTCATTGGAAGGAGGGGCGTTCGAAACTATAAGCGAATACGAATTCTCAGAAAACAATTACGAGGAAGCATGGCGTTCCCTTCACGATAGGTACGATAATCCTAAATTGCTAATACAAAATCATATCGATTCAATTTTCAAAATAAAAGGCTTGGTCGATGAATCTGCGGAGCAATTATTAGAATTGTTAGATAGCGTTACTAAGCATACGCGTGCGTTAAAAAAGCTAAATGAGCCCATCGAGCATTGGGACTCTTTGTTAATCTATATAATCGTATCAAAGTTAGATTCCGTTTCCGCAAGGGAGTGGGAAAAGAAAAAGGCGTTAGTGCCGGAAAAAGCAAAACTAAGCGATCTAACCAAATGTTTGCGTGCGCGAGCGTTGTTGTTGCAAACCTTGCGAGCGAAAGATGATAAGGAAGCAAATAAACACAAGTTTAAACGCGGTCAACAAGAAAAAACCAAAACTTTCCACGCGGGGAAGATAACTTGCGCGCTTTGCAAGGAGGGACATCACATTCAGGGATGTGAGTCATTTCTGAAGCTAGATACCCAACATAGGCTTGAGAAATTAAAAACCCTTAAACTTTGTACAAATTGTCTCAGGCCCGGTCACTTTGCGAAAACTTGTAATTTCGGCTCGTGCAGGTTATGTAGCGCGAAGCACAACACGCTTCTTCACTTCAAAAGAGGAAAAGCCAATACGGACAAAAACGCTGCACAAGAAGCGTCGATCGTCGCTTCCACAATGTGTTCAACGGGTTTCAATAAACCCCGTAAGGAAGCTAACACTATTCTAGCCACCGCATTGGTCAACGTTTCAGGACAAAACCATATGAAGATGGAGGCGCGAACTTTCCTGGATTCATGTTCTCAGTCAAACTTTATAACGCGAAATCTGTGTAAAAAACTCAAACTGAGGCAATCGCCTGTTAATATACAAATAGGAGTGCTTGGTCAACTTGGCCCGGGCGTTGATGGGCAATGCGAAGTGGAAATCACGTCGAAGCACAGCGGCTACCGATTCAAGGTACATTGTCTAATCGTGGCTCAAATCACAGAAGATCTAATGCCAAGCTCGGCGTTCAGTCTGGAGTCTATGGGAATTCCCCCGCATCTCAAGTTGGCAGATCCCTCTTTTAATACTCCTGGGAGGATTGATTTGCTCGTCGGGGCCGAATGGTTCTGGGATCTCTTGTGTGTGGGCCAGAAGAAACTTGAAAATAATTTGGTCATGCAAAAAACTAAGCTAGGCTGGGTCGTGGGAGGACCAATGGCCGCTCCAGCGCCACAACGCGTGGAATGTTATTTATCAAAAGTAGCTAGCATAGAAAAACAATTAATTAGATTCTGGGAGCTTGAAGAACCGTCGAAGGAAGGGGCCTTATCAAGAGAAGAAGAGGCGTGCGAAGCGCATTTCAAAAGAAATACAAAACGCGACAAAAGCGGAAGGTTCATCGTTAAACTACCATTCAAACAAGAGCCGTCTACGTTAGGAGACTCTAGAAAACGAGCGGAGAAGCGGTTTTTGACACTCGAAAGAAAACTGCTGCATAACAAAGCCTTGCAAGAAGAATACTCTGCCTTTCTGAAGGAATATGAAGAGCTGGGCCACATGCGAAGAATATCGGACAATGAAGAACCGCCGTATTCATATTACCTGCCCCACCATTGCGTGATTCGATCTGACAGCGAGACAACCAAGCTCAGGGTGGTGTTTGACGCTTCTGCCGCGACAACAAATGGTGTGTCGTTGAACGACTTACAAATGACTGGCCCTGTCATACAAAGTGACTTATTTTCGATTTTAGTAAGGTTCCGAAAGCACACTTACGTGATATCAGCAGATATAGCCAAGATGTACCGCCAGGTATTAGTGATTCCTGAGCAAAGACCGCTACAAAGAATATTATGGCGCGAACAGCCGGAGCAACCAATCGAAACATTCGAGCTGAACACCGTGACTTACGGTACAACGGCAGCGTCCTTTCTAGCAATTAGATGTTTGAAGCAACTTGCAATCGAATGTGAGCAGAGCAATCCCAACATTGCAAAAATCATCAAAGGAGATTTTTACGTCGACGATCTGTTGACTGGCGGGGAGACTCTCGAGGAGGTAGTCTCCATCGCTCGAGGAGTAAGTGACGTTCTAGCCGGTGGATGTTTTGAACTTCGCAAGTGGAAGGCGAACAATCACGAATTTCGCGCAATATCAAAAGGTGCAAATAAACCACCAGCTGAAGTACAACTACACAAAGACGGCAACAAGCGAACATTGGGTCTGGTTTGGCGCGTGGAAAATAACATTTTGACGTACAGCGTGGACCTGCCGAGGAACAACCAAGTTACGAAACGCAGCATACTTTCAGTGACATCAATGATTTTTGACCCTTTAGGTCTTCTGTCACCTTGTACTATAATGGCAAAAATTCTAATTCAAAAACTATGGCTAGAGAAATTATCGTGGGACGAAAGTTTGCCATCAAGTCTGCACTTTCAATGGACGCAATATTATAATCAACTCAAGTTGCTTAATAATTTCAGAATTCCAAGACAAGCTATGGCGCCAAACGCGGCAAAGGTACAGATACACGGATTTGCGGACGCTTCAAAAAATGCGTATGGAGCATGTGTCTACGTTCTAGTAGTGGACGTCGAATCAAAAATTCATACTAACTTATTGTGCGCAAAAACGAAGGTCGCGCCGTTGAAGACTCAAACAATTCCTCGCCTGGAGCTCTGCGCTGCGTTGGTGCTCGCCAAGCTGATCTCAACGGTCGAGGGCGCTCTTGAAGCAAGAATTGATTCCGTCACTTATTGGAGCGACTCCACTATAGTTTTGGATTGGTTACGCGCTCAGCCGAGCCGTCTGCCAGTCTTTGAATCTAATCGCGTGGCTCGAATACAAGAATTGAGCAAGGACAGAGTATGGCGTCACGTACCTACGGAGCAGAATCCAGCCGATTTACTCTCCCGTGGAACTCAGCCGCAGGAGCTCAATTCGACGCTTTGGTGGAAAGGGCCTGCCTTTTTGATGAGCGGCTCTCAATTTTGGCCCAAGCGATTGGCCCACAAGATAGACTCTACGCCTGTCGAGTTTACGTTTACAGCAACGAGTTCACCGACTAACATTATCGAAGAACTCCTTTTACGATATTCTAGTCTCTCTAAAGCAATACGTATTCTCGCCTATTGCATTCAATTTATCAGCAAGCTAAAACCAGGAGGAAAAGAAAACGACGTATCAGACATTCAGCAACGCAGATCTGCGATAAGGTTGATGATAAAGCACGTGCAGAGCTCAAGTTTTCGCAAAGAAATATCCATGCTTAATCAAGGAAGTAATGTTTTAAAAGGGCCACTAGCTTCATTGACTTCATTCCTAGACAAAAACGGGGTCGTAAGAGTTGGAGGTCGATTGGGGAATTCAGAGTTCAAATATGACAAGAAGCACCCAGTCCTCCTGCCAGGAGGCCACATATTTACAAAACGTCTGTTTTCCGAAGAGCATATCCTGTGGTTACACGCGAGTCCTCAATTACTTTTAGCGTCTATTCGGGAACGATTCTGGCCCCTAAGGGGAAGAAATTTAGCTCGCAAAACTGTCAAATCATGTACACGTTGTTTTAGAGTTAATCCGAAAGCAATGCAGCCACTCATGGGTCATCTCCCTCGAGATAGAGTGACAGCTGCATTTCCCTTTGAAACTACGGGAATCGATTACGCGGGTCCTTTCCAAATTAAGGATCGTAAAGGAAGAGGTTGTAAGGTATCAAAATGCTACATATATCTGTTCGTATGCTTTGCCACTAAGGCTATGCACCTCGAGTTGGTGTCGGACTTAACAGCGGAAGCATTCGTAGCAACTCTGAGACGTTTCGTATCGCGTAGGGGAAAACCGTCGCGAATTTATTCAGACAACGGAAAAAATTTCGTAGGCGGAAATAATGCTCTCAAAGAGCTTGGTAAGTTTTTGATCGAAGAAGCAAAGGTCATAAGTGAATTGATGGCAGACTATGAAATCGAATGGAATTTTATCCCAGCATACTCGCCTCATTTCGGTGGCCTATGGGAGGCAGGGGTAAAATCCGTAAAGTACCATTTAAAAAGAGTCGCGGCCAACGCATTGTTAACTTTCGAAGAATTTTACACCTTGCTCGTACAAGTAGAGGCCGTTCTAAATTCCCGCCCATTAACTCCTCTGTCATCCAATCCTGACGACCTTTTTCCATTAACCCCCGCTCATTTTCTTATTGGTCGGCAATTCAACTCCGTTGTCGACCCAAGTTTGCAGCATATAAAGGAGTTTCGACTCTCTATTTGGCAAAGAGTGCAGCAAATTGAGCAAAATCTGTGGGAGCGATGGAACAAGGAGTGTATATCAGAAATGCAGCAGCGAACCAAATGGCGATCTCCATTTCCTACTCTGCCACGAGGCACGCTCGTTCTAATCAAAGAAGACAACCTTCCACCAGCCAAGTGGAGATTAGGAAGAATCGAGGATACGCATGCTGGCAGCGATGGCATAGCTCGAGTTGCGTCTATACGCACCTCTTCGGGCATTATTCGACGCGCATTTGCGAAATTGTGTCCATTACCTTTGGATGAGGAGAAGACTGTATGCGCATAGTTTAAGCACAATTTGCGTTCCTATATTTTATTTAAGAATAATTTAGTTTGTCGTTCTACTACGATATTTATTGCGAAGTAATTCACATTACAATTTTTTTTGTTCCTTTTCAATTGCCCCAAAGAATGTAAGTTAACTACTTGTGCAATTTCGACATATCTAGTCGCTTTTGACCAAAGATAGTATAATATGTTACTTTAATTGTCAATTATTAGCATAGGTGTAACGTGCCGTTAGCAACAAAGAACTCTCCCCACCGCGCACAAGTTCCCCGGCACCACTCCGTCCCGCACCTACAAGCGACCTGTATATAAGCCGGCGAGAATCCACCGAGAGCACCAGATCCCGACCTGTGAGCTGAACAGGTCTAACCACGGCGACGACGTGCTGAGTCCGAGTCGTTTCCGAACTCGCGAGTTGAGCGAGAAACCGACCCGCCTATGATCCTGGCGCGTGCTGAGCGCCTGCCCGAGAACCGCGAGTTGAGCGGGAGATCCCTGCCGATCCGAGCCACGCGCTGAGTGGCCATCCTCGCCGTAGGCTATCGCGAGCTGAGCGAAGCTTACAATCCTCGCCATGTGCTGAGTGGCTCGACACACAACCTAACCTAACCTAACCGCGAACACGAGCTGTCACCGGCAAGCAGACAGTACACCGCGCCGCCGCCGAACGTACCGCGCCTGCGCCGCCCGCACTGAACCGCCGTACCGCGCCGCGTCCGAGCGAACCGAGTCGCGCACGAACACACCGGCCCGAACCGGTACTACCGCGCCGCCGCCGACCGAGCCGACCAATCGATCGCCGTCGCGCACGTAGGATCCACATATTTCGAAGCGCTCGTGCGCCAGATTACAATAGCGAACCACCGTCAGAACGGAATTAGTTATAAGGATAATTGTAAGCTAGTCATAAGTCATTCTTGTAGAGTAAGTTAAATATAGTTAGTAGTTAAGATTAAAGCTGACTCTCTATCTTTTCGAGACACCCACCGCCGGACCCTAGAATTCCCGCGGCTATACGTCGCACTTTAATTAACGATTCGAACGGTCACATAGGCATCAACCTTTATAACAATTATTGCTTTAGTTTATAAAACTTTCGTTTCTAAGTGATTGTGTTACTTTTAGATTGGTTCGAGCAAATTTTACAGGTATTGCGTTTCAAAATTAATTACGCAGCGTTTATATTCGTTTAAATACGTTA